GATCGCTGGCCTCCCTAGCACCTCCTGTGGATGGTGGCTCATGGGCAGCAAGCGGGGAGGATGGCCGGCCTTGCTGATCTCCATGTTGCCCCACCGCTAGGGTCCCTGGGACCCCTCTGGACTGAGCTCAGGGCTTCTTCCAGGACCACAGCAGAGGCTCCAATCCCAAAGTTACCCTCAGAATCCCCCTCGGCCATTTACAAGCTGTGCAAAGGGTGACCTTGGAATTGAGCCCCACATCCTGGTCTGGGGGTGCCCACAGTGTGTCCATGCTCTGCTGTGGGCAGCGGTGCCTGTGGGCATCTGGCTGTGCTGACTGGGGAGGGTGGTACTAGGGGGCCTCTCAGGTCTGCTTCCTGGGCGCCGACTCAGATGGGGTGGCATGGCTGCCTGAGGCAGGGACTGTCAGAGTCATGCTCTCCGGAAGGATCTCCAGGCAGGTGTGGGGGATAGGGGACACTTCTACTCTAGCCAGGAGTCAGCTCGGCCCACTGTCCAGGATGCTCACTTGGGGTTTGACCACCATGATGCTGACTGGGTGTCAGGACTGTCCTCTCAGCCTGGTCCCTGGCCCTTCCTCATGGGAACCCCCTGGAGCCCCTCAGGAGGTACTGTCTCACCTGTGACAGGTTGGACACCTGCTCTTGGGAGAGCACCCCATGAGCTCGGAGGCCACCAGCCAGTGCCAGGCCCACAATCAGCTGCATCCCCAGGCACGGGCAGTTGGGGCAGAGGGACAACTGGGGACTCGCTGGCTGCAGGGATGCTTGGCCCTGGCCTGTCTATGTAGCTGTGTGGTCAGGGTGCCTGGTGAGGTGTCCCTGGGTGTCCCTGACTCGGGGAAGGGGCTTCATCCTGGGAAATGTGAGCCAGCGTGTTCTTTCTCTGTGGCTTTGGACACCAAAATGTTATACTCCCACAAAGCCAGTTTCCAAAATCAACAGCGAATCTTGGGCTGGGCCAACTTCCTGGGCCTGCGTGTTGGTTACTGTATTCGTCCATTTTCGTGCTGCTAATAAAGACATACCCGAGACTGAGCAATTTACAAAACAAAGAGGTTTAATTGGACTTACAGTTCCATGTGACTGGGGAAGCCTCACAATCACGGCAGAAAGCAAGGAGGAGCAAGTCAGGTCTTACAGGGATGGCAGCAGGCAAAGAGAGAGAGAGCCTGTGCAGGGAAACTCCTCTTTTTAAAACCATCAGATCTCGTGAGACTTATTCACTATCACAAGAGCAGCACGGGAAAGACCTGCCCCCATGATTCAGTTACCTCCCGCCAGGTCCCTCCCACAATATATGGGAATTCAAGATGAGATTTGGGTGGGGACACAGTCGAACCATATCAGTCACCTTGGGGAACCCTCCTGGAACACAGCTAGGGGGACACAGGCCCTGAACAGAGAGAGCCTGGGACTGAGCACTGGGGTTGGGGGGTGGAGGGTAGGGGATTCTGGGCTCCAGATGATGATGCCAAATTGTGCCACAGGTGTCCCCACCCGTAAGATGAGCCCCAGGGGTTGTCAGAGCAGGGATGGTGATTGGAGGGTGTTGTGACTGAGTGGTGCTCCCCAAGCACCCAAAATGCATGTTGATGTCCTAACCCCCAGCACCTCAGAATGGGGCCATCTTTGAAAGCAGGTTCATTGTAGATGTCATGACAGTCAACCTTCCTCCACACTCGAGTATCTTTAGAAAGTTTTTTTTTTTTTTTTTTTTTTTCTTTGAGACAGAGTCTCCTGCTGTTGCCCAGGCTGGAGTGCAGTGGCACGATCTTGGCTCACTGCAAACTCTGCCTCCCGGGTTCATGCCTCAACCTCCCGAGTAGCTGGGACTATAGGCACCTGCCACCATGCCTGGCTAATTTTTTTGTATTTTTAATGAGACAGGGTTTCACCATGTTAGCCAGGACGGTCTCAATCTCCTGATCTCGTGATCCGCCCACCTCGGCCTCCCAAAGTGCTGGAATTACAGGCGTGAGCCACCGCACCCAGCCCGAAAGTTGTTTATATTTGATTCAAACTTCCTAGCTATTATCTGTGTGTATAGCGGGAGGGGTCTGCTCAGAGCTTCTCTGTGTCACAGGAAGCAGAACACTGACTTCTGTTTCAACAGGGACAGTTTGGCTGATGGGGGAGAATAGCCTGGGATGCAGCATGGAAGTGCAAGACCACCTTGGGGGGTGCTCCTCTATCATCAGGGAAAGAAGGGTGCGCTTGGACAGGAGGGAGCAGTGGAGGGTGAGGAGGAGTCACCGTCTGAATACATTAAATTAAATTAATTCATTCATTCATTTATTTGAGATGGAGTTTCACTCTTGTTGCCCAGGCTGGAGTGTGATGGCATGATTTTGGCTCACTGCAACTTCTGTCTCCCAGGTTCAAGCGATTCTCCTGCCTCAGCCCCCCAAGTAGCTGGGATTACAGGTGCCCCCCAGCACACCCGGCTAATTTTTGTGTTGTTTGTAGAGATGGGGTTTCACCATGTTGACCAGACTGGTCTCCAACTCCTGAACTCAGGTGATCCACCCGCCCCGGCATCCCAAATTGCTGGGATTACAGGCATGAGCCACTGCACTCGGCCTCACTAGACTTTTGTTTAACGGAGTGCCACCCCAAATGCCAACAATGAGGGTGGTCTCTTGGTGGTTCTTTCATGCCCTGCCCACCGCCCTGTTCCTTCGTCCACCTGAGGCCCCTGGGATTGGGACTGCAGGAGTCTGAGGCCAGGGCCAGCCTGAGCAGCTGATGGTGGGGTGGGTGCTGGGGATGCTCAGCTCTGGCTCGGCTCCCCTTTGTGCCACCTTCCGGGGTGGGGCTAAAGGCTTCTGCCTATGTCCACATCCACCCCCATGCCCAGGCCTCCTCTGGGGCCCAGAGGCTCCTCCTGCACCAATGGGCAGTGGCCTCCCAGCACCCCTTTCTGGCAGCCTTGGCTCTGCTCTTCCAAGGCCAGCTTTCTGCACCAACAGGCCCCGCCGAGTGGGCAGCTTCTCGCGTGTTCCCGCTGCGGCTCAGCAGGCTGGGCCCAGATCCAAACAGGGGGCCGGAAGCTGAGTAGCCGTGGGAATGCCAGGTGCCTCCCACTCCCTCCCATCCCAATGGAGCTGCTCCTTCCCCAGGCCTGGCACCCATACAGGGGGCACTAAAGCTCAACCCAGCCTCACCTTACAGCCTGGAGTTCCCAGTGGAGGTGGGGTGGGGGGTGGCATCAGGACCCTCATCCTAAGACAACTCCAGTTAGCTCCTTTACAAGCAGGCACTGGCTCTGGGGACAGGTTCTTCCTGAGCACCTGGGACTGTGACCCACAGGACGACCCGCCTGCAGAGTTCACACAGATGCCAGAGTTGGGGCCGCCCAGAGCACGCCCCCAGCACAGACGCTTCTGGGTCTCCCCTGGGCGGGGGGCAGGGCCAGCGGCTCCTCAGACAGAGCCACATTTCTGCTGCACGTGCAGCATCGTGTGTCCACCGCCAGGGTCCCAGTGCAGGATGGTCCATCGTCACCAGGGCCCCTATTGGTGCCCCTTTCTGGCTGAATTCCTACTTCCCATTTGTAACCTCCGGAAATCACCGACGTGTGTGCCCCTCTGCGGTTTTGTGAGTTTGAGAGCATCATACACATGCAGTTGTTTTCACATCTCTCTGACGGATGCCCAACCAACAATC